TTTCTTCACCCTTCTTTGTCCACCAGATGTTATTGAGTTCTCTTGTCCTTTTTTGGACCTCAGCTTTTGCACTGGCATAGATCTTTTTCTTAGCAGCACAGTTGATGTCTCTCTGCCATGTTTGGAAGGCTTTCCTTTTCTTGTCAATTAGCTGTTGGATCTCATTGTCCTGATGTTTCTTGGTTTGGTATCCAATAGTTTCTTCTCAGGCTGTGATGATGGAGGTCTTCAGTTTGTTCCAATGTTCCTCAACATTTTTGGGGTGTTCTATGGGTAGATGGTCCTTGAGTGCTGTTTGGAGATGGGCTCATTTGGAGGGCTTCTGAAGGGCTTGGGTGTTCATTTTGTGCCTTGTCTTTCTTCGTTGGAGCCTGCGCTTGGGGGCGATCTTGATAGCCATCGTGGATTGGATTAGTCTGTGGTCTGTCCAGCAGTCGTCAGCACCTGTCGTGACTGTAATGAGAAGCACGTCACGGCAGTCTCTGGCCCGTGTGATTACGTAGTCTAAGAGGTGCCAATGCTTTGATCGGGGGTGGTTCCATGATGTCTTGAACTTGTTTTTCTGGCGGAAGAGCATGTTGGTGATGACAAGGTTGTTTTCCACACATTTGGTGAGAAGCAGGATGCCATTTGAGTTGCTGTTTCCAAACCTGTCTTTTCCTATGGTCCCTGGCCACAGGTCAAAGTCTCGCCCGGCTCTTGCATTAAAATCCCCCAGGAGGATGATTTTGTCCTCCTTAGGTGTCTGTGATAGGACGGTATCCAGCTGACAGTAAAAAAAAATTCTTGATGTCTTCATCTGCATCTAGTGTTGGTGCATAGGCACTTATGATGGTTGCCTGTTGGTTTTTGGCAAGTTCAATTCGGAGGGTTGAGAGTCGTTCATTGATGCCAGTGGGTGCTTCGGTCAGATGTTTCACCAGATCATTTCTGATAGCAAAGCCAACTCCATGCATTCTTCGGTCTTCTTCAGGCAGTCCCTTCCAGAAAAAGGTGTAGCCTCCTTCTTCTTCCTTCAGCTGTCCCTCTCCTGCTCTCCAGGTCTCCTGAAGGGCTGCTATGTGGATGTTAAAGCGTCCCATCTCCCTTGCAATAATGGCAGTTCTGCATTTGGGGCGTTCACCATCAGTGTTGTCCATCAGTGTCCATATGTTCCGTGTACCAAAATTCATTTTTCTTTTTTGGCCGCAGGGTGGTGAGCCCACTGGACGTGGCAGTCCAGTCAGGGATAAGAGAGGCAGGCTATGTTTAGGGCACCTTTTCTAGCCCCTTCCCTATGTGGGGTGAGCAGAGTGCATCCTCAAAAGGGCTGCTCAGTCATGGATACAGCTGCCGAACTACTCAACTGCCTCAGACCTTGAGGTAGAATGACTGAGTCCGTATCCACCACCCATGTGCCAGTCTGTGACTAGGGGCTTCCAGATTTCACAGCACTGCCCTTGTCGCTATTCACTGATCGCCATGGGATTTTTGTTGGGGTTTTCCCCCTTGGAAGATGCCTGTGCATGTTTTTTTTTAATGTGTGGAGGTCAGTGCACACTGATCAACACACAGTCTTCACAGAGTGAGGTTCCTCGGGTGGCATAGTTTACCAAGATGACCATGGCTTCTCAATCTGTTGCAGCATTCTTCCGCCTTCACAGCCATTGTAACATGTACCATGTTATCCTCCACCTGCTCTGCCATTGAGGTCTTTGGGTCTCCGGACTGTACTTGGTCTGGAACCTCCCCCGCGGCCACTCATGAGAGTGCACAACTCCGGTCGTTGTGCCCACACGTTCATTGGAACAAGCAAGCCCCCTCGCCATGACAGGGTGACAGTCCATCGAGGGGGTATCTCTATCTCTATAAAATTCAAAGTATGTATGCTTGTTTGGTTGCTTAGTTGGTTTGTGCCACTAAAGTCCCTACATGGCTGGATGGATCTGGACCAAAGTTGGCATACTTGCCCCAGAGCAGGGGGAAAGAAAAGGAGTGGTTTGTCTGCTGCTAGGTGACATGTGCATGAGGGGAAGGGAGGAAAGAAAGATAAAAGGAAGAAAAAGGAAGGGAGATGGGAGGCAGGGAAGGAGAGGGAAAGAAAAAAGAGGGAAGTAAAAGGCAAGGGGGAAAGAAATGAGAGGGAAGGAAGAAAAGAAAGTAAAACTTTACATTATATTTATTTTATCCTTACAGTGATACTTTGAGTTTAATGCATTCTGTGACCAAGCTTTTAACTTAAATCACTCTTATCTCAAAGTGAATTTCCCATTGAAATCCTATCAATCTGTTCTGTGCCCCCCTAAACACCCCCCCATTTTTGTTACGTGTTTCTAAATAAGAAAATGTACTTTATAAATAACAACTAATATATCAATTCACAGTCACATGGAACAATAAGAAAGATAAGTTTAAAATGATAGAAGCACAAAGTTGTGGCAAGGAAGCACAAAGTCAAGAAGCAGAAGCATCATTTTCTTCATACTGTACTCATTCCAATCTCTCTCCCTCTCTTGCTCTCTTTCCCCCTCTCTCTCTTCATGAAGCCAAACAAATTGCACAAAATCAACTAACCCAAAGTTTCTCAAAGCGGACAAGAGCAAAGCAATCTCCCAAAGCGGACAAGAGCACGAGGCACGAAAGCTGCTCCCTTGAAGCCCTAAAGCCCTGTACTCACACACTAGTGCTCCCTCTGGCACTAGTTCTTAAGATGCTACGCATATGTCAGAGTGAAACCTGGGCTGAGCAACAGCTCTTAACTCAAAACACTCTTAAGTTGGGAGAATTAAGTTGAGGTTCCACTGTATTTGTCTTAACTTTCTTTTAATTACTCTATTTTAGTATGAATATCAAGTCAGAACAGTGTATGCTTGAGAGTTCCAGTTACTTGAGTTCCAGGTAACTGAAAATGTACTGTATAAACAGGATGACTGAAATGACTAGAATGTGTACATCTAGTTATTGCCTATTAAAAATCAAAATAAAGTTAAACATTATTGTTTGTCTCAAGACAAAGTAAGGCCTCTTATAAAGTCCTCTATATTCAAAGATTTTGTATCCACAGATTCAACCAATCAGAGCTTGGGAATGTATTTTAAAAATTCAAAAACCAAACCTTGATTTTGCCATTTTATATGAGGGATAACATTGTGCTTTGCCATTGTATATAATATGAAATGAACATCCATGGATTTTTATGCAGGGCTGGGGGAATCCTGTAACCAAAGTCCAGTGGATACCAAAGATCCACTGTGTGTCAGTTTCTTACATAGATGATTTTTAAAATGACATTATGGTAAGCAATACTTACTCAATACAATCTCATCATGCTTTTTTTATCTCTGACATTGTGTGCTTCTTTCCATATTATGAGTGTACATAGAAAGAAAGTTGTGATAGTTTTCCATTGCTGCGGATTCTACTGCCCCATGTGCCTCTTCTAAAATCCACATGTGGGCAGCCTTGAATGTTTGGAGGTGGTTTGGAATAAGAATATTACTTATTTTAAGTGTGTAAGAATATTATTTTTTTGGGATTTTGTAATATAGATTGGCCAAATTGCATATTTTAGAGATACAAATGACCTGCAACCAGAAGTTTAACTCATAATGTTATAGATATTTATCTTTTTGTAATCAGTCCCTGTTTTGCAGATGTACAATAGAGTTGGAAGGACAGTCGCTTTATAAACAAACACTTTAGTATCTCTACGAATGTCCTGATCCTCAAACACTCTCTGCTGCACTTGCAATGCGCAGATGGTGTTGTAGTTCAGCGTTGATGTCAACTTTTGTGGAGAGGTAGCTGACTAGGTAGCAGAAATAGTCAACATTTTCTAGCATTACACCATTAAACTGTATTGCTGGCATTGCAGGGAGGTGGGTCTGTGCCTGCTGATAGAGCACTTTGGTTTTCTTGATGTCAAGTGAGAGGCCAAGCTTTTCATAAGCTGCTATGAAGGTGTTTAAAGTTCCTCTGAATTAGCACAGACTACATTATCATCAGCATATTGGAGTTCTGTAACAGAAGTTGTTGTGACCCTACTTTTGGCTTTCAGCCTTTTGAGTTTAAAGAGCTTGCCATCTCTCGGATATGTGATTTCCACAATGATGGGAAGCTGCCCATCAACAAGACGTATAATAATAGTGGAGAAGACATAAAAGAAGATTGAAGCAAAAATGCATCCCAGTTTGATACTTGATCCCAGTTTAAATGGGTCACATTGGGAGCTATTACTGTCCAAGACTGTTGCCATCATGTCATCATGGATGATCTGCAAAATGTTCACACATTTATCAGGGCATCTGATTTTCAAGAAGATGGTCCAGAGAGCATTATTGTTCACGGTGTCAAAGATCTTTAGAAGGTCGATGAATGCCATGTTGAAAGATTTATTTTGTTCCCTGCATTTTTCTTAGAGCTGCCATGTTATGGTAAACTTCTAGTAACCATCTTTCAGAGGAAACCAAAGTCATGTAAAACTCTACGTTCCTGTAACTTTTCACCATTTGTAGATGTGGTATGTATGTAAAAATAGGATGCATCAGTTCTGCATCTTTTGGCCTTCAACAGCTTTCCTGTCTTTGTAAAGTAATTCAGTTTCTCATAAGGCTTTCTCTGGACTTCTTTCTTAAGCCTGTCTGCTTCCTTGGGACTGCTGCCTTTTCAACACTTGGTTGCCGCCTTTTTTCTTAGGACTTTGGCTCTATCCCTTTTCAAAACATCATATTAGTACCTTGTTGTGTTTCCCCTCTCAGGTTATATAACATTGGCATTGAAAAATTGAGTTTTAGGAAATATTAGTCATGATTTCTCACACATCTCCTATATTACATCCAGTTTGGTTATGTAACTGTGTCATCCACTTTCCAGACCACTTCCTTGTTATCTGCCACATGAATGGATGGATAATTAACTCTAAGAAGTGGTTAGAATCATAGCAATCACTTTCCTAGTATAGTATTAAATAAAAGTGTTTTGTATTACATTCATTATTTAATTATTTATTCTGATTCTTCTAGGCTATCCTTTTCCTACTGCCCCTCCAGTGGATCCATTTGCAAGAATTAGAGTGGATGACTGTGGAAAAACAAAAGGCTGCTTTAGGTTGGTATGGTACAGCATTAATAAATATTTACAACCTGACCTACAACCAGGGACTCATGTATCTATATCAGTAAATATTTTCTGTCAGCATAGTAAATATTTGGGATTGTTATATTGGGGCACGAAGGTTTTATGAAGTTGAAGATATATATTGTTCTTGAGAATACTTACTAAACAGGCACCTACCAAACAAACAATAGTTCATGAGGCTGGTAAAGCAATATTTCAATGGGATAATTACATTTTTGGGTGTTTATCCACTACATGATACTTTGTCTGTCCTGTAGTTGTTTCCTATCCCACCCATTCCCAGAACATCCCTATTAATTTACCAATAAAACCCCTCAATGTCTACCACTTGTGCTGCGTTCCACAGTGAATTTACATGCAAAGGGTTCCTCCTGCTTCAGTTCGGCTTCTCATAAGCAGTAACATGCTGTGAGTGGACATGATGTTACACCACTGCCTTTTCCTCCCTCTCCTTTGATGAGGAAGGACTGGCATTCCTTGTCTAGCTGGATGCATAGGGATGTACAGAGACACAGCTATTAGAAGCAGTTCTTCTTAGAAGTGGTATCTTAAGCATGGTTCATTGTTGGATTACATCCCTGTTCATTGATTTCTCATCTCAGCAACAGGTTTTTCATGTATAGTCAAACTTCAACAGGAATGATATTTGAATATGTCAAAATTACAGCAAGCTATGCTTTATTTCTTCTGTCACATGTAGGTATGGTAAACCAGGATGTAACGCAGAGACTTGTGATTACTTTCTCAGTTATCGCAGAATAGGAACTGACATAGAGTTTGAGTTGAGTGCTCAGACAGATGGTTGGGTGGCCGTAGGATTTTCCTCAGATAAGAAAATGGTAAGAACATATTAACAGTTCAAGTAAGCATTGCTTTGTTATTATGACTGGACAAATGAACAAAAATATAGCCAGTGTGTTAGATGTGACCACTTCAGTGGAAGAACTTTGCACTAGCCAAAAGAAAGAAAAAGAATTATAGGCAGAACCTTTCCCAACTATGCCCAATGTCAACTTGTTTGTCATTAGACTGGGAGTCAGGCAAAGAGAATATACAAACTAGGGCTGTGTAATTGTCTCATATGAGTCATTAGTCCCAGCTGAATATCCTTTTTTATGATCTATGGTGACTCTGTCTGAAGCAGAAGTGAGCTTACAGACAGTCGAGTTACAAACATCTGACTTACAAATGCCTCACAGTTGATGAGACAACGGGAAGTGAGAGAAGTTTACCCTCTCTCACTTCTTGAAAGAGTTACAGGTAAAAGGTTTCTCAACTGAAGCTTTTTCACCAATCTTTGTTTCCACAAGCCAAATTTTTCAAAATCTAATTATTCTAGGAACAGAAAGTGAGGTGAAATCTTCCAAACAGGGGCACAGACAGCAAAACAATCACCACAGAAGTGTTAACCCTTTCCTATGCCATTCTAAGCTGGAAAATACATATATTTGGCTGGAGTTACACTTAAAAATGTACCTGTTTCTACTTATATACAAATTCAACTTAAGAACAAACCTGTTAGTAACTTGTGAATGTCTGTATTTCAAAGCTTCAAATCTGCCTTGGAGTCTTGGAAGGAAGTTCTTAAAATATCCTTTCAGATAGATTTTTACCATTCACCTCTTCAGAAATGGATAGCACCAAACAGATTGGGAGTTATAGGCAGCTGAATTTGGTAGCTTCATTCATGGAGTAATTTTACCAGCCCATTTCTTAAACCACTTTTGGGAGGGAGGGAGGGTGGATGGGAGGGAGCAGAGGTTCTGTGAGGACTAACTAAAGCCTAAAGCTTCTTGCTGGAAGTACTCAATACTCCTTCGTGTTCTTTCCTGGAGGAAAGACTGGAAAGAGAATGACCATTGGTCAGAAGTGTACTTAGTGCTTCCAATTACGGCATGCATGCACACTTTCATAATTGAAGATCCAATAGTTATCACCAGATTGATAGTATAGAGAATGCAGAAGTGTGGAGTAGAGAAACAGACACACAGGAAGAATAAATACAAGAAGCAACAGAGTGTGAGAAATAGCAGAATAAGAAAGTGTGAGAGTTGGCGAGTGTGGGGGGGAGGGGAGAGAGAAATGTAACAGAAAAAGAGGGAAAGGAGCAGAGAAAAATAAGGAGAGCTACTGAAGTGTATGAGACATCACATAAAAATAGCAGACTGGAATGATGTCAGAAACATAGTGAGTGAATACACCTGAGAGGTGGCAAAGCAAGAAAGTAAAAAGGTGCCAGATATTTAATTTTGAGAGATAAATTGCATAGAGAAGCATGAAATCCATAACATCTTAAATGTTTGTTGAGTTACCCATAGAGAGAACAGGAGATAGTTGTCACACGTGATGTGAGCAGAGGGCAGATTCCACCAGATGAAGCAGCACACTTTGACTGGCTCCATCAATCTCATCATTATAAGAATAGTCTCTAAATGAAATCAGATGCTTTAAAGAGAAAATCTATGCTCATATCAATCAATAAAAAAGAGGCTATACATAATTCTAAAATGGCAGGAATAGAAATTTAAATAAATAATGTTAAATTTAAATAAGGGGACACTTCTTATACTAGTTTGAAAAAATAAGAATTAGTGTTAATTATTTGTTTAATACTGACATGTTGTTGTGAATAACCACTTGGTTTTTCTTGGGCAGAACTGATGTCATAATGGAAGCCTTACTTAGTTTTTCAATTTAGGGTGGAGATGATGTCATGGCTTGTGTTCATGATGACAATGGAAGAGTCAGAATTCATCACTTCTACAATGTTGGTCAATGGGCAAAAGAAATTCAAAGGAATCCTGCAAGGGATGAAGAGGGTATTTTTGAAAATAATCGTGTAACATGTCGATTCAAGCGTCCTGTGAAGGTTCCCAGGGATGAAACAATTGTAGATCTTCATCTGAGCTGGTATTATTTATTTGCTTGGGGGCCAGCAATTCAAGGTGAGTTGCTTTTCTTTTATGTTCCAATTACATTACAATAAAGCAAGAAAGGAATCCATGAAAAATGTGTCAGTTGTCCCTTGATCAGAAGCCATGGTCAAACTGTCTAAAACAAGGCTTGTCTCCCATTATCAAACCACCTATTTACACAGTGGGGTGACATACATTCCCCAAATGGCAGTGCCAGAGGGTAATGGATTTGTGATGTGGTGAAAGTAAGACATTGGATATGCAATGCTGCAGAATAAATCAAATCTACCTAGAGAAAGGTCATCTGCCCCCCCCCCAATTGTAGGAGACTGATCAATGTTTTCTTATTAAGAGATATGCCTGAAATCTTTTAAAATGTATTCTGACTGTGCTAAACTAATAATTTTATTTACCATTATGCCATTTTACTCTTCTTTACCTTCTTATCTTGTGTTGTATTTTTCACCTCGTTCATTTCTATGACTTGGTTCTGTTCTTTATATGCACTTTTTCTGTAGATTAGACTTCTGTCTGCAAACAGAGTAGGCATTCCCACAAAATTTCAAGATATCCAGGAATGGGATATTTTGTTTTGCAACGGAGTGTAGTTCCAGGTCTCCACAAGGCTTCATTTGGTGCTGTACACTGACAATATTACTGCTATTGGAGAAGCTCATTGGCAGTAAATAATTCATCAGATGGTATAACACAGTCCTGTAACTGATGGGATCCAGCATCCCCTTATAGCCAATAGTGTAAATGGGCCACTGAAAAACTGCTTCTACCCCAACTATCCCCAGTTAACAATTTTGTTCCCCAGAGCTATGGGATCCTGGGCTGGTATATGTGAGATTAATGAAAAATGGATTTCCAAAAGTAAACAAAATCAAACTTTGCAAGGGTGTCCCATCTCCCCTTCCCATAGCTATGAGAACTTTAGAAGCAGGTTAGTAACAAAGGAGATTTACACATGTAATGTTGTGGATATAAGCTTTCTTTGGTTCTTTTAAGGAAACTAGGAGTTTGACTACTTCAAAGTGATTGGCCAAAAATCTAATAAGAGTCAAACCAGCTGTACTAATACTTCCCATCTTTCTCCTTTACTTGTTTTAGGTTCTATAACTCGGCATGACATAGATTCTCCTCCAGTCTCAGAGAGGGTGGTCAGTATTTACAAATATGAAGACATTTTTATGCCATCAGCTGCCTATCAGACCTTCTCTTCTCCATTCTGCTTGCTGCTTATCGTTGCACTGACATTTTATTTATTGATGGGAACTCCATGATGAGAAATACAGCACTTGCAGTAAACTGAGACAATTTGTGAGTTTTGCTCAGGATGGGAGCCTTTTTGTATTAGAATTTTTATTGCTGGAAACCTTGTAATTTATTGACAGCTTCTGCTCCTTAAAGGACAAAATTGTGAGCTCACTCTTGACTGAGCCATAGATATGTGCCAAATAATCATGACATTTTGAAACAAATGTAATGGACTGAACACTTATAAAAAAAGATATACCATAGCTTGTTTTATGAAAATTGAGGTTGTGTTCCTAAAAACACTTATTAAGGATAAAGTTTCAGGAATATTCAGAGTAAATCTGCACAGGACAGCACTATACAAAACTGTAGTAGAAAACATCTGACCTATGGGTACAATCCAGCTCATGGATTTTCCCTATTTGGCCTGAAATCAAGACCACCCCATGGATAAGGAGTTGGAATGAAACAGGTTTATCTAGCACTTGTTTTAATTAAGAGCAACCAACTTAACTCCTTGCCCTTCCTTCCTGCATAAAGGAGGAGGAAGAGAAAAATTGGTATCCTGCTGAACATCAGGAGGAAGAAATTGGGACCTGATGATGATATGAAGCAGGACAAGTCCCCAAATGACACCTGCCATGGACAGAATCCAGTCCCCACATTTTAGTTCTCAAGCTCTTTTTAAAGCGGTGGGTAGGATCTTAGTATGCAGGTGGCTCTCCGTTGTCATGGATTCTACATCCACAGATTCTGCTATCCATGCTTGAAAAACATTTCTTTAAAAATCAAGAAGGCAAACTTTGATTTTGTCGTGTTATATAAGGGGCATCATTTTACTGTATCACTGTATATAATGGTTCTTAATCCACCAATTTTAGTATCTATGGGGGTCCTGGAGTCACACTCCTGTGGGTACTAAGGGACCACTGTATTCTGGGAATGTGTACAATTGTCAGCCAGCAGAGAAGGCTCAATCCATTAATGGGTTAATTCCTGTTGCTATCTACCTAGTCCAGATAGCAACAGACAAGCTAGAAGTAATGCAGCAAAAATACTGCACTTCTTAAAATGAACCTAAAATAGTCCTCATCTTTTGCTGCTTCAGTTCTTCTTGTATTACCTAAGAGAGGTCTTACGTCTGTCTATTCCACTTTATGTGCCCTTATTTCTGTCATTTAAATCTCTCTTGTTTCCCTTCTTCATTCTTTTCAGAAAGCATCCCTAAAATATTCTTTCGATTTAGGAAAGGAAGAAGGGTCAGACACCGATGACCAAAAAACAAACAAGGGAGGGACATTTCAGTTTTAATGATATTGTATCTTCCAGGAATATGCCATGGTGTAATACTCTATATCCTAAACTTAAAACGTCTGCTCATGTTGCCCCCACCCTCCTGATTTCAAAGATCTCATTAAGTCAGGGTGGACTCACCTATGCAGGTAGAAAAGGTATAAATATAACTTCAAAATTATACAACCGGAGGCAATTGAATTTCACACATTCCCTGTTATTGATAGCACAGTTTCTGCTGTCATTTCAGGTGCTCTGGCATCTAATCAAAGTGATTTTCTTAAGTGAGGCCCCTTGTGGGGAGAAGGGCGGGGTAGAAATGTACGAAATAAATCTGTATCTATATCTTTATCTATATCTATATCTATCTATCTATCTATCTATACATATAATAAAAGTCAAAGTTTGTATGCAGAGGACAAAAGTGTGGCGGTGCGACGGGAGGAGTATGTGCCAGTGTTCTGATTGGCTGCCGCTGTGGTGCTATTTGCATATGGTCTCTTATTGCCCAGCTTCAATAGGAGCCCCTGGTGGAGAAAAGAGTTCATGACAAAAACGGGGACATGAGAAGGAAATTTGCATATGATCTCTGATTGGCCAGCCTCAATTCCAAGATTCCGAGATGACAAAGAGAGGAAAGGAAAAGGCTAGGGGCTGAGTCAGAAAATTACCAATACAGACCAAACTTGGCACACAGAGCCTGCAAGACCCACTCTACATCCTACTGCAACCATGGATGATGGGACTTGCAGTACTACCACTCACATTCTGAGACCACTGTGAACCTCATCCAGTGACTGATCAGGACCAAACTTTGCACATAGACCTCTCATGACCCACCTTACGTCCTGGTGTGGTTTGGCTGGGGATGGACCATGGATTATTTATTTATTTATTTATTTATTTTGCTTATATACCGCTGTTCTCAGCCCGGGGGCGACTCACAGCGGTGTACAACATAGAAAGAACAAAATTCAAAACACAGTATAAAAAACAATTCGTATAAAAAACAATCCGGCATTATACAAAAACATCATCATTGCTATGAAACCATTCAGCGTCGTCTCATCGTCCAAATCACAATCCAGTATCATTTTCCGTTGTTCCATTCCTATAGTCATTACCAATCATTGCACTTCTTGTTCGAACGCCTTCTTGAACAACCAAGTCTTTAATTTCCTGCGGAATATCATCAAGGAAGGAGCCAGTCTAATGTCCACGGGAAGGGTGTTCCACAGCCGAGGAGCCACCACCGAGAAGGCCCTATCTCTCGTCCCCGCCAGCCGTGCTTGTGAAGCGGGTGGGATCGAGAGCAGGGCCTCCCTGGAAGATCTCAAAGTCCTGGTGGGCTCATACGCCGAGATGCGGTCGGATAGGTATCTTGGGCCGGAACCGTTTAAGGCCAACGCCAGCACCTTGAATTGAGCCCGGTAGCAAATCGGCCGCCAGTGGAGCTGGTACAGCAAGGGGGTTGTATGCTCCCTGCGTCCCGCTCCTGTTAGTATCATGGCTGCCGCACGTTGGACCAATTGAAGCTTCCGGGCCGTCTTCAAAGGCAACCCCACGTAGAGAGCGTTGCAGTAAACGGGATGTGACCAGAGCGTGGACTACCGTGGCCAAGTCAGACTTCCCAAGGTACGGGTGCAGCTGGCGCACGAGCCTCAGCTGTGCGAATGCTCCCCTGGTCACCGCCGAGACCTGGGGCTCCAGGCTCAGTGACGAATCCAGGATCACACCCAAGCTGCGAACCTGCGCCTTCAAGGGGAGTGCGACCCCATCCAGCACAGGCTGTAACCCTATACCCTGTTCGGCCATGCGACTGACCAGGAGTACCTCTGTCTTGTCTGGATTATGGGACTTGCAGTACCTTTGCTCAATTCTTGAGACCACTGCAACCCTCATCCAATTACCGATAAAGACCAAACTTGGCACACTGAGTCTCCATGATGCACTCTACATCCTGGTGCAGTTTGGAGGGGGATGCACCATGGACGATGGGACTTGCAATACCTGCACTCCCTTCCTAAGACCATTACAACTGCCAACAATGATGGATCAGGTCCACAATTTACACAGAGAGCCCGCATGACCCATTCTACATCCTGGTGCAGTTTGGAAGAATTTGACAATGGATGATGGGACTTGCAGTCACTTCACTCACTTCCTGAGACCACTGAGACCCTCGCCAATGACTGATAAAGACCAAACTTGGCACACAGAGTCCCCATGACCCACTCTACATCATGCTGCTGTTTGGAGGAGGGTGGACCATGGATGATGGGACTTCAGGTACCTTCACTCACTTCCTGAAAACAATGCAGCCGTTATCCAATGACCAATAAGGACTAAACTTGGCATACAGAGCCCCCATGACCCATTGGAGGAGGGTGGACCATGGATGATGGGACTTCAAGTACCTCCACTCCCTTCCCAAGATGGCTGCAACCCTCATATAATGTCCAATCAAGACAAAACTTGGCACACAGAGCCCCCATGACCCACTCTAGATCCCGATGCTGTTTGTAGGAGGATGGATGATGGGACTTGCAGTACCTTCATTCACTTCCTGAAACCACAGCAACACTTATCCAAATACCAAGAAAGACCAAACTTGGCACAGAGAGCCCCCTTGGCCAACTCAACATTCTGGTGAGGTTTGGGGGAGAAAAGACTATGGATGATGGGACTTCCAATACCTTACCTCACTTCCTGAGACCAATGATTGATCAAGATCACACTTGGCACACAGAACCCTCATGAACCACTCTCCATCCTGGTGCAGTTTGGAGGAGGATGGACCACAGATGATGGGACTCGCAGTACCTTCACTAACTTCCTGAGACCACTGCGAGCCATATAAATAACTGATAAAGACCAACTTTAATAGACAATTCCTTTCTCAAATAACCCGGGCAGCTCCGGGTCCCCAAGCTAGTATATAATAAAAGTCAAAGTTTGTATGCGGTGGAAGGACGTAGGGTGGAGGAGTTTGTGGCAGCTTTCTGATTGGCTGCCACTGTGGTGCTATTTGCATATGATCTCTGATTGGCCAGCCTCAGCAGGACCTGTGGCGAAGAGGGTTAATGAGAGAAGCGGGGACATGAGAGAAGGAAATTTGCATATGGTTTCTAACTGGCCACCCTCAGCAGCAGCCCCTGGTGGCGAAGAGGGTTAATGAGAGAAGCGGGGACATGAGAAAAGCCTCCCACAAGGATGGTAAAACATCAAAACATCCTGGCGTCCCCTGGGTAACGTCCTTGCAGACGGCCAATTCTCTCACACCAGAAAAGTTTCTCAAGTTGCTCCGGACATGACAAAAAAAAACCTCAAAAAACCAAAAAAACATTCTAACATTCTCAAATGGATGAGAAGAGAAAGGAAAGGGCCTGAGGGATTTGCATTACCTTCACTCACTTGACATCCTACTGCAGTTTGGAGGAGGATGGACCATGGATTATGGGACTTGCAGTACCATCACTCACTTTCTGAGACTGCTGTGACCTTCATCCAATGACTGATCTACACCAAACTTGGCACATAGACCTCTCATGACCCAAGCCCTGGTGTGGTTTGGCTGGGGATGGACCAGGGATTATGGGACTTGCAGTATCTTCGCTCAATTCCTGAGACCACTGCAACCCTCATCCAATTACTGACAAAGACCAAACTTCGCACACTGAGTCTCCATGATGCACTCTACATCCTGTTGCTGTTTGAAGGAAGATGCACCATGGACAATGGGACTTGCAATACATGCACTCCCTTCCTGAGACCATTACAACTGCCAACAATGATGGATCAGGATCACAATTCACACAGAGAGCCCGCATGACCCATATCTACATCCTGGTGCGGTTTGGGAAAAAATTGGAGATGGATGATGGGACTTGCTGTAACTTCAGTCACTTCCTGAGACCACTGAGACCCTCGCCAATGACTAATCAAGACCAAACTTGGCACACAGAGCCCCCATGACCCACTCTACATCCCGGTGCTGTTTGAAGGAGGACGGACAATGGATGATGGAACTTGAAGTACCTTCACTCACTTCCTGAAACCACAGCGACACTCATCCAAATACCAGTAAAGACCAAACGTGGCACAGAGAGCCCCCATGGCCAACTCAATATCCTGGTGAAGTTTGGGGGAGAACAGACTGTGGATGATGGGACTTCAAGTACCTCCACTCACTTCCTGAAACCACAGCGACACTCATCCAAATACCAATAAAGACCAAACTTGGCACACACAGCCCCCATGACCCACTCTCCATCCTGGAGCAGTTTGGAGGAGGATGGACCACAGATGATGGGACTCACAGTACCTTCACTAACTTCCTGAGACCACTGTGAGCCATATAAATAACTGATAAAGATCAACCTTGATACATAATTCCTTTGTCAAATAACCTGGGCAGTGCTGGGTCCCCAAGCTAGTAATAAATAAATTAAAGATCCAAATGATAAGAAGTTAAATGCAGCTTTTAAACATGAAGCATTAGTCCTCTTGTCTGGCCTTCACTACAGCCTCCCTGATATCCAGAGCAAGATATTTCCATCAACTAAGATGCAGAATCCTTGCCATTAAAACCAACCTCTCTTCATGAAGCCAAACAAAGATTATCCATCAGTCTGTCTATGCTAAAACAACGCAGCTTCATAATCAACAAGAGGGAGCAATCTTATTCCATCTCAGTAACTTGTGAACCTTGGAGGCATTATAGACACCAAAAGGGATGCATCTCTCCTTCTCCAGACAGAAGAAAGAATCCAAAAGATCAAAAAGGCAGCTCTTCTTTTTTTGTCAGATCAAAATATACACATCCCATGACCCCAACACACCTTCAGGGCTTATGATCTTTTTTGCATTTGCTTTGAAGTGTGGCTGAGGTTCTTTTCTCTACCATGTCACTACTCAGATAATTCCACATGTACATCACCAGGGGGGAGACAAACATGAGTATACCTCTGGCAGGTGGTCAGGCATTCCCTTCTATGGTAAGTGCAACAAGACATTTCCCTATTGGTTCCCCAACAATTAGTTCTAGTAAGCAAAGTGCACCTCATTCGATTGGCGGGGGGAGGGTACTTGCTAGGGCCTTTCAGTGTGGGGACTGTGGAGTGTAACAGTTCTATCCCTGGCTGCAATAACAAGTCATTAGAAGGCAGTCCCAGTCAGGATTGGCTTGACGCGCCTTCCTCTTAGCACGTTTCTCCCTTTCGCCCTCCATTCGTGCCTCTTCGAATTCTGCTGCACTGCTGGTGACAGCTGACCTCCAGTTAGAGCACTCAAGGGCCAGGGCTTCCCATTTCTCGATATCTATGCCACAGATTTTAATGTTGGCTTTAAACCATATTTAAATCTCTTTTCCTGTCCACCGACATTCCGTTTCCCATTCTTGAGTTCGGAGTAGAGTAACCTCTTTGGGAGACAGTGATCAGGCATTCAGACAACGTGGCCAGTTCAGCGGAGTTGATGGTGGAGGGCCATTACTTCAGTGCTGGTGGTCTTTGCTTCTTCCAACATGCTAACATTTTTCTATCTGTCTTCCAAAGAGATTTGCAGGATTTTTTTTTGAAGGCAGCGCTGATAGAATTGTTCTAGGAGTTGCATATGACATTTATAGACAGTCCACGTTTTGCAGGTATATAGCAGGGTTAGGAGGACAATCTATATAAATAAAAATATAATGTTTGTTTGTGGGATTAACAGAACTCAAAAACCAGTGGACCAATTGACACCAAATTTGGACAGCATACACCTAACAACCCAATGTATGTCCTTCACTCAAAATTTTTTGATTTTGTCATTTGGGAGTTGTAGTTGCTGGGATTTATAGTTCACCTACAATCAAAGAGCATTCTGAACCCCACCAACAATGGAATTGAACCAAACGTGGTATAACAGGTCTCCCATGACCAACAGAAAACACCAGAAGGGTTTGGTGAGCATTGACCTTGAGTTTGGGAGTTGTAGTTCATCTACATCCAGAGCGCTCTTTGGCCTCAAACAATGATGGATCTGGACCAAACTTGCCACGAAGATTCCATATGCCCAAATATGAACACAGATGGAGTTTGGGGAAAATAGACCTTGACATTTGGAAGTTGTAGTTACTGGGATTTATAGGTCACCTACAATCAAAGAGCGTTCTGAACCCCACAAACGACAGAATTGGGGCAAACTTCCCACACAGAACCCCCATGACCAACAGAAAATACTTAAGGCTATCCAGTCCAACTCCCTTCACCAGGGCAAGAAAATCTAATCAAAGCTCTCCTGACAAAGAGCCATCCAGCCATAGATATAGATAGATATATATGATTGACACACAGAGAGATATAGTATCATAGATTTGAAAAGGAACCCTAAAGAAGGACAGTGAAATGTTGCATATTCCAGAGTTGGCAAACCAGACACTCTGCACATCAACACTGACAAAGAAACAAGAAGAAATATCATTTACCTACAAGCATAAAGAAATTACATAGATTAGAAACCATTACTTTCTTTTCCAGCTCACGAGACAGGGCCACAGCAACACGTGGCAGGGGACAGCTAGTGGCTTTATAAACGAGCACCTTGGTATCCCTACAAATGTCCTGGTCCTAAAATACTCTCTGCTTCTTTCAGAAAAATTCTGCATTTGCAGAGCTCAGGTGATGTTGTATCTTCTGTGGAGAGGTGGCTGCCAAGGTAGCGAAAATGGTCCACATTTTCTAATGTTACACCATTAAGCTGCATCTCTGGCATTGCAGAGGGATTGGCTGGTGACTGCTGAAAGAGCACTTTGGTTTTCTCAATGTTCAATGAGAGGGCAAGCTTTTTGTATGCTTCTGCAAAGGTGTTTAGAGTGGCTTGTAGATCTTCAGATGACGTTGCATATTGTAGTTCTGTAACAGATGTTGTTGTGTTTTTGATTTTGGCTGTCAGTCTGCTGAGGTTAAAGAGCTTGCCATCTGTCCAATAGATGATTTCATTACCATAAACAAGATGAAGTACCATAGCAATGAAGATGGAAAATAAGGTTGTGGCAATAACACACCCCTATTTGATGCCTGATTCCACCTTAAATGGGTCACTTTGGGAGCCATTGCTGTCCAAGACACTTGCCATCATGTCATCGTGGAGGAGCCGCAGGATGTTCACAAATTTGTCAGGGCACCCAATTTTTGGAGGATGGTCCAGAGCATGATTCACTGTGTCGAATGCCTTTGCAAGGTCAATGAATGCCATGTACAGAGGTTGATTTTGTTCCCTGCATTTTTCTTGGAGCTGTCGTGCAGTACTCATTAAAAACAAGACACGTTTTCCTCACCTAGAGCATCACTTGGTAGAAGGGCTCTGCAACAAGTAATACAACATTAAAACATGTTCTTGCCATCTCCCACCCTAATGCACATGTCTACTTGGGTAGATCCCACTACCAGATGGCTCCTTTGCTGGCTCCTTGGTAAGGAGTTTCCTTTTCCTTGGCAGGAAGATCTATGAAAGAACTGAAGCATGATATTACAATGGCTAGAGCAGGGGTCGGGAACCTTTGGCCCTCCAGGTGTGGTGGACTTCAACTCCCACAATTCCTTGAGGCTCGGCATTCGCCCCAAAGGCTTACCTTGGCCCAACGAGGTTTGTTTGGCTCTTTTTCATGGAGGACGGGCAGCAAAGGGGGAGAGACGAGCGTAACGTAGCTGTGCAGATGGCGAGGAAGGATGCGGAGCCCACAGACTGGCCTCGGAGGGAGAGAGCGGGCGGAAACCCCTGCGGGCAACGCGCCTCCTCGCCGCTTCTCTGTAAACAGCGCAGAGCCCTTTCCCTCCAGCCTTCGCCTTCCCTTTTCCCCGACAAGCTCTGCACGACGTCACTCAGCCGGCGTCGTTGCTAGGGAGGGGGTCCATGCGGGGCGGTTGCTACGGGCCGAAGCGGCGAGGAGGCGCGTTGCCCGCAGGGGTTTCCGCCCGCTCTCTCCCTCCGAGGCCAGTCTGTGGGCTCCGCATCCTTCCTCGCCATCTGCACAGCTACGTTACGCTCGTCTCTCCCCCTTTGCTGCCCGTCCTCCATGAAAAAGAGCCAAACAAACCTCGTTGGGCCAAGGTAAGCCTTTGGGGCGAATGCCGAGCCTCAAGGAATTGTGGGAGTTGAAGTCCACCACACCTGGAGGGCCAAAGGTTCCCGACCCCTGGGCTAGAGGCTCCATTTAATTAACACAATATCTTGCCTAGCCTGGGTGCCAACAATAGTTAACCCATTAATGGATTGTCCCTTTCCCTTGGCAAGAGTGAATCTTCATGATAATTTCTCCAATGTGCTATTCTGCTCTCTAACTGTAAATTGTTTTTTATTTAATATATATCATGTTAATAAGATGTATTTGCTGACATCATATATTTTCCAAGTCTAAAGAAAGGGTCTTAAATATTGTGGGTAATTGTAACCGCAGAAGACACATTGTTGTTGTTGTTCATTCGTTCAGTCGTCTCCGACTCTTTGTGACCTCATGGACCAGCCCACATTAAATCACTAGAATTTACATATTCAAGTCAATATAGCTCTACTTGGAAATACGAATAGAATTGATAATGGGATCAATTAATGAAAATGTACTTATTTACTTTTGATAGTCAGTGATAAATTGGCTTAAGAAATTGCCACAAGTTTCCGTTAGTTACTTTAAGAGGCAAAACTACAGCTATTGGAAATTTTGTGCTGAAATATAACATCTATGAGCATGTTAAATATTAACTTTCTGGTGTGATATGCACACTTTTCTCATTTCTTGGAAAAACAGTATCATATCAGGTAAGTAGCTTCAAAGGATGTTTGGGTTTGTATATATTTTGACATCTTGGAGTTCACTTGTATATCTTTATACAGATGAACAAATATGAAGCAGTGGAAAAGGAGGGGTTTTATTTGCATTATCCCTTTATGATGTTTCCAGGAGTAAGCAGATATAACAAAAATCAATGGAAAATAAATGAAAGGAATAATTATTCCATAAAACTGTGAAAAAAAGTAATGTAAGTGAAAAAGCAAAATGAATTCTAGTGAAATTTCTATAAATTATACATAATACAAAAGTTGTAAAAAGCATTGAATCAGGTAGATTTAATGTATATAATGTGAGTGAAGATGAGTAAACATAATATTTAACTTGGAGCTGGATTTGGATTTTGTTTTGGAGCTTTATAGTCCTATTTGCTTAAGAAACAT